AAAAAAACAAGCTTTTTCTAGCTGTTAACAGCTTTTTCTCAGATATGTCATCCAGTTTTGTTCAAAGTTGGTACAGGGACAGGTAATAATTGTTTACAAGTGCACATCGCATTATATGTTTAACAAGTTATAAATTGTCTCAGAAAAGCCAAATGAATAAATTTTTACCCCACCCCCTAAAATTGTAACACATCAATTCTGAACATTTAATAACAGAATTTTAATACAGCTCAGAATGAATTAATTCACTCTGACACAAACTAAGTTCAATATAAGTTTTTAAATTTTTTTCTGAGCGGGGGCTATGACATGACATGTCATGTCTTGTTTAACAAGTATTGACAGAGATCAGATGATATGACATGTAAGAGTTTTAGATGTGAAGTTTCTTGGATCCTTTCCACTTGAAATCGTAGTTTGCATGACCTGCATGACAGCTGTGGCGTAACCCTGTCACATCATGTGCTACCAGCATATACACTGTATACCTCGTAAAGCACATGTTCATTCAGTGACTAATCCATTCTGACATCTGCTTTTACTCTGATTACAGAAGCTTGTTGTCTGGCATGTTATATAGCCAATGGTCATATAATGGCATTTGCTGTACCCAGTCTAAGACCCATGTTAGACTCAGAATACTTACCTTTAACTGATTATAGAATTGCAAGGACATTTTGTTTCACAAATCATGGACAGGCATTGTATTTATGTAGTCCTACTGAGATGCAAAGGGTCACTCTTTGTACAGAGACCAGGTAAGAATGTGCTAAGCTTTGCTTTAATGTGGTTCAATAAAGTCTGACATAGTTTTTCTGACTAAAGAAAAATATTTGGCAATATAAATACTATATGTCAAAATGCAGTGTTTTTAAAGTGGTTTGCATACTGTCATTGATGAGGGGAATTCTTAAGGCCTCTAAAAATAAATGAATAAAAATACATTTTTACCTTGCCCGTAACATCGAAGATGGAAAGGAAAGGTATATTAAGGGACAAATTTCTGTTGTTGTCGTCGTTAATAATTGTGTTTATTGTATTTGTATTTGTATAACATGTTTATATGATTCTGCTAACAAATCAGGTACTTATAAATTGTGTTTCAACTGTCTGTAATTCCTGGACTAAAACTTAACCAAAATATATCCGTCTCGGGAAGTAATATTCTCAGAATGTTAAGAAAGAGGTGTTTAATTGAAAATGGCACTTGCTGGTCATAGTCTAGAAACGCCATAAATATGTTGTGCGACATATTTCGTTTGGTGCTTCTTCCCCTTTCCAGGACGGATTTGTTTTATTAAAGATCACTAATCATGGCGTATAGAATTTTGGAAAATTATAAATGCTATGAAAGATTCAAAGAAAGATAGCAACAACCCAATATCACCTGAGAAATGGTTACAATACTACAAAATTTTAAATGAAAATACCACTCAAAATAATGACAACTACATACATACTAAAATAACAAATCTAGAAAAAAATATCTCACATGACCTCAATATAAATAAAAACATAACAGAAGAAGAAACTAAACTATCAATAAACTGTCTTAAATCTAAAAAATCTGCTGGTCATGATGGTATATGTCCTGAATTATTGAAATATGGTTCAAATGATTTAACTAAGTCACTAACAAAATTATTCAATTCAATACTAGATGAAGGTATATTTCCAGACATGTGGAATACCAGCATCATAACACACCTATATAAGAAAGGTGACAGTCATGATCCAAATAATTACAGAGGTATTTCAGTCTCCAGCAGTATCGGCAAAGTGTTCTGCTCCATCATAAACTCAAGAATTACACTATGCTTAGAGGACAACAAAATTGTCAACAATAATCAAGCAGGATGCAAACAAATCATCGCACAACAGACCAAATATTTGTACTTAAAACAATAATTGAAAAATGTCTTAAAAAGAATAAAAAATTCTATTGTTCTGTGGTAACACTGACATTCAAACTCTTTCTGGAATTATTTCATTCAAACATTTAAACCCATTTTACTCTATGGTGCAGATGTCTGGGGATCAGATATTTTGGATTTTGGAAAATGGGAGAAATGTCCAATTGAAAAATGCACTTAAAATTTTTGTAAGAGAACACTTTGTTTAAACAGATATACAAGCAACGCAGCATGTAGGAGCGAAATAGGCAAACTACCACAATTAATAGAAATTAAAAAAATGCTAATAAAATACTGGTTAAGACTAAAAGATATGCCAGAGGATAACCCCACGAAACAAGCATACTATGAACAACGAAAATCACAGCAACTTACTTTTATCATCAGTAAATAAAATATTAATAATTAATTAAAAGATTATTATTACACATCATTAATAAATTTTACAACAGGTATTCCAAAAAGAAACATCCATAAGATTATAAATAACATTGAAGCAAATATAAAACAAAAATATGTAAACCAGTGGAAGTCACAAATCTCAAAAGATAATAGTAAACTTAGAACATTTGCAAAAATCAAATTTACATACTCTTTTGAGCCATATTTGACACTACAAAACATTAATCGTAGAAATGCATTACTAAAATTGAGAACAAGCACACACAAACTTGAAATTGAAAAGGGCAGGTACACACACCCTAAAACACCAGTAAATGAAAGAAAATGCAAACAGTGCAACATGAATGTGATTGAGGATGAATTTCACTTTCTCATGATCTGTCCAAAATATGGAAACTTGCGCCAACAACTTATGTCTGAATTTAATTTTCTATCACATGATGCACACAATACATTCAGTGCAGATGAATGTGAAATTATAAAAAAGGTTTCACAGTTTATTTACAAAGCTTTTCAATAAAGAATAGATAGTTGATAGCTTTGAATTTTCTTATTATTAAACTTATTAGTATTTGTAACAAATTTAACACATTACATTCCACTTTCATACTTAACATTATAATATTTTCTCTTTCTTTATTATTTCATTATTATTATTATACTTTGTTATACTTCTATTGCTACTGTACTGATAGAAATACTGTATTTCTAAAGATGCAATAAATAAATATTATTATTATATGCTCAGAAAGCTATACTGAATGACTGTTGCACTGTAACATTGTTTTACAGTGAGAATTTACAGGAGATGTTAGGAGACTTATTCTTGCCAGTTGACACACCAGAAGCACCCAGTAAAGGTTTCTTCAAAGGTCTTTTTGGTGGTGGCGGTGGAGCGTTAGACAGAGAAGAATTGTGTAAGTTTATTTTATGCATTTCAATTTCACTTGTATCATATTATACAAATTGTTTAGATGTTATGTGTCAACCATATACTTTCCATGTGGTTTTAAATTAATTCCTTCGGAAAAAATTTAAAGATAAGAACATGCTTCCTACTATTCATTTGTAACTAGCATCTCTAATATAAGAATTTATGAAAGTGACACAATTTGTGACACATTTTGTATTCCTATGAGCGAGTCATTACATTGGAATTATTTGCGACTACCTTAAGTGTGTATGTATGTACTATGTATGGACGTATATATGTACCGGTATGTATTTTCCACGATTATTTTAAGAACCAATCATCACATTTCAATAAACCGTGGTATATAGATGCTATGGGACAATTTACAGATCTGATTAGTTTTGGGTTAAATTTGCATAATAGTTTAACCAATATATCTCAGTTATCACATTTAAATAAAACTTTGTACATCGAAGTTTTAAAACAACGCAAAGACCCAAATAGTTAAATGAGTTGAAATCTTAATTATTAATATCTTAATATTCCATTTTGTTTTTCTCGCTGAACCAATCATTTGAATGAAACCTGGTATGTAGGTGTCATAGGAAAATGCAGAGATCTGATGAGTTTAGGGTTAATATCCATGTATGTTAATTACCTAATTTGCACAATTAGTAAATATTTTGCTTTTTCTCTGTTATTTCAAGTTCTAATCAATACATTTCAATAAAACTTGGTACACAATTACAAGTAAAATGTAAAATGACTAATTTTCACTGGGTTTCACTGATTTATCATTTCAGACATATTCAGTGGGTTTTAAATTCACGGTTTTATCATTTAGACAATGTGTTCTATGTTAAATTTTACATATTCACTGGGTTTTAATTTAGCGCATTTTCCAGTCAGTGAAATAAGCCAAATTAAAACCCAGTGAATAATTAACCCTTTTACAGTATGCACAGACCTAATTAGTTTTGATTAAACATTTCTGAGGAATAATCACCTAATTTGTTCTAGGACAATATACAGACCTGATATGTTTTTGGTTACTATCTGTGCATATTAATTACCTAATTTACCCAATTAGTAAATGTTTGGCTTTTCTGCTGATATTTCAACTACTACTCATTAAATTTAATACATAGATGCTCTAGGACTAGTTTTGACTAAAATCTATGTGCATATTGTTTACCTAAGTTGCATAATTATTCATAATGTTTCGGCTTTTTCATGGATATCTTAAGTTCTAATCACATTTCATTGAAACCTGGTACATTGATGGTCTGTGACATTGTGCAGACCTTGTTTGAAAGACTAATTATATATATATATGTCTCCAATACTCTCAGCACACAGGAGTTATTTCTAAGCTTGCTTATTTTTTTTCTAGTTGGTGAATCAAGCGGTAAAGCTTCTAAAAGTGTTGCAAAACATATACCAGGAACTGGTGGCATGGAAGGTGTGAAAGCAGCTAGTGGCGGTGTTGCTGCTGAACTTCAAAAAGCCAGACTGGTAAGCTACATATGTGAGGTTATGACCATATATCGCCTGTTTGTTGAGTTGGGTGATACAAGTGACAGTTGATGATGTCACAGATATTCAACCTTCCATTCGAATGAATGATAACCTTTGTATGTATTTATAAGCAACTCTGATCGCCAAAAAAATAGACGCTCTAATCTTCTTGAATTATATATGTATATTTATTTGATTGAATATGTCTAGTTTTTGCTAATAGACCATTTTCTGTTCACTGCGAGAATCATGCGTTATGCATAAAATCGAACGTAAAAACAGGACAAACAAAGGTCATAGCGTTGTAGTGGCGTCAAACATCGCGTGGGATTTGACAAACGCGAAGTATTTCGGGGACATTTCCATGCTTAATAATGTGCTGTCCACATTTGTTGATAGGCAATTTCGATTAAGTAAGGGTATTCACAAGCAATATTCCTCTGTCGAAGATTGGCCGGTCGATGTGAGTTACGAAATAAAGAAATTCTAGTTCAAAATCAAATCGTTCGATTTTTGCGGCAGACGTTCGACGTGCGTTTTTTATACATCTCGCGAGATCTCGCAATTGTACGGAAAATCCCCTATTACATTTACAATCAGCTATTTCTAATGATTGGCAGAACATGAATAATAATATGTATGATTAGTAGTATTTTATTTTTTCAAAATAAACTATTAAGTTGGTATTATCGATATTAAGTGTAATTGCATCATAGGAGTCTGGTGATGATACTGTTGTAATGCATAATTTCTTCTGTAGCAGACTTTCTGAATATTATTTTAGGTAAGGCTATCATCTTAGGGAACTTCTTGATCTTCAAACTGTGCACTTCTACTTTTCGCAGGCATTAAATGAAAGAGGTGAAAAATTAGGAGAACTTGAAGACAGAACAGCTCAAATGATGGCTAATGCCGATAACTTTTCACAAGCAGCTCATCAGATAATGCAGAAATATAAAGATAAAAAGTGGTACCAGTTTTGAGAATATTTTCTTACTGATCAAGCTGCTTGAGTTTGAACTGGAAATCCGGAGCATGGAACCCTGACTTTGGGGGAAACAATCATTTGATAATACAATGCCATGTACTGGATGTCATCATGGAAACCATGGCAACTGATGCTGCTCAGGCTCTGTGATATATATTTCCACACAGTTGATATTGATTCTCTTAAAAGTAGTGAAGATTCAACACCAGCTCAGAAATCTGCATTTGAAATAGTCCACTTGAGAGGATTATAGCAGAATATGTGCAACAAGATATCCTAATTTTTTTTTTTTTGCAAATATTTGTATAAATTCAGCAATTGGGAGCCAAGGTTACAGTGCGACTTGTACAGTTAGTGTTACAGTATAATAAGTGTATTTAGGATATCTATATATATTAAATATATATATATTCAGTAAGAGAGTATGTGATGTAGTAATAAGACGTTGTCTTTAGGAAAATAACAAGGAATTTGAAAACCAGAAAAAAAAAGAAAAAAAAAACCCACTGAAATACTATCAGTTTAGCAGTATGGTTGACTTGGTGTATTATGTGTCTGATGTATTTGTATATCTTAACTAGCTGTTATAAACCCCAAGTGTGTATCAGTGACCCTGGGTGGTAGACAAACATTTCACTCCAGACTCCTAGTGGTATACCCCACTCCATCAAGTTATTTTTTTTCTTTTAAAGCAGTTTGTGCAACTGCTTACTTTCATATATATATATATATTGTCTTGGTTACAGCTTATTTTTTTTTCTTTTGGGGTTGACCATTACGGTGTGGCCGTAGTGCGGTAATTTCACATACCCATATCGATATGCTGTACTTGTATATAAAAAAAAAAACCTTTGACTAAGTAATTGCCGCGTTTGAAGCTTAATGCTCGATAACAATGTACATGTATGCATGTATTGTTTTTTTAATGCTATGTGAAAAGTTTGTCTTGACCCTTCACCGATAGGTGTCGCTAAAAGGGGAGAAAAAGTGCTTTGATAAGTTTTTCAAAAAAAAATATTTGTAAATCGGCTTATAGGTGAAATTCTTGAATGAATGAAGACGACAAATTTGATGGGGAGAGTGTGACACCTTGGGATTTTGCAAGAAAAATCATCTTGATTACTGCAAGACCTCTTTATTCCAAAACATGTAGCTGTGTAATTTGAACCTGAACTTGATATTGATTTTCATTCATTTTGCATACTGCATACTTCTAATGACCAAAGAATAAGAGGCCCCATGAAAGAGTCGGGATGTATTTTTGTCTTCATTCACTTGAATCATCTAACCTGAATTAATTGGCGTAGCATGGAATTTCAGTGAATTTACAAACGTGTCATCATTCATTCATTTTATTTTTTTTGTATGTAAACCTTGGGTAATCGCAACTCTCATACTTATGGATATTCTATGTATATATATGTGACATAATTTTATTGCCTTGATTCTTAGTTTAGAGATATATTTACTTAAAAAATTTATGAAGATGTACAAAGAAAATAGTAAAAACAGTTTCCGTGGGGCTTGACACCACATCAGCCTGGCTGTAAAATTGTTGAAACAAAAAGGTGTAATATGATCTATCAGAATTCAATTCATTTTTCATTGTATAATATTATTTATGTGAATTGCAATAGCCTTTTCAAATTAAAATGGGGAGGGGAGGGTTCTAAGCTACTGATGCAATGTGTTCCTCGTATTTGTATGTCACAATCACTTTTGAGAGTGAGGGGTATGTCTGGCATGGGTAATATTCGTTGGGTTTTGTTTACCGCCCTCTAAATAACTTGAGAAAGGATTAAACTGTCTTGTATGTCAGAGGGTCACTGTTTGGCTGTTTTTGTATAGTATTTTTGTTCAATAGCCTAAACCTAAGCCATTATTTTCTGTGGTCTCTAAACCTTAATAAATTGTATTTGGTAATAGCTACTATTTTTTTTGAATTTGCCTGTATTTATTCTTGTACAGCACGTCATGTAGTATGAGCTCTCTACTACGTTTTAAACTTTATTATTTATTTTTGTGCAGAATGTCATAGTGCATTGGCAATATTCAATATGACAGCTTTGTCTAATCAGCGCAATGTACGACTGAAAGGGAGTGCTGTACTTTGCATGTGACTTGTTATATAGTTGGGTATACTTAATACACAAACTCGGGAAGTTTGAACCTAATGACCAAACCTTATCAAAAACAGACA